AAACTGTCGCACGACAACAGAAAAAGTCCCCATGGTGAACTGTCTATCTTATTCAGATGAAAAGTTATTGGGTTCAGAACTGTATTCAGCCAATTCCAAGCAACCCTGATAGAATACATTTCCCTCTTTTACCGTGGTTTTTAGCTTTAATTCCTTTTATATACCTGCCTACAGTAATAATAGTCACTTCAAACTAAGTGTACTAGGGGATAGGTGTTTAAGCAAGACTTGAAGTTAAATCTATATACTTGAAAGGAATTAGTCATACCACCAAGTCTTAGTAATTATTATTTCCTTAACAGGACTGACTAAAATAACCGAAAAGGAAATTAAAACCGCTAATCAACAACTATACTTCACCTACGCTTGTGGTTGGAAAACAATTAAGGTTTTAACCCCAAACAAAAAATTCACTTTAGTCTTTTGCTTTCTGAATTTCAGCAGTTCTTGATTGAAACAAAAAATCTTTATTCAAAAACTTTCTTCTGATTAATCAGACCAGTTTGAATATTTCTCAACTCATAAACTTTCGAAAGAAAATCAACAAAACAATGCCTAATTCTTCTAAAGCTAAAACCAATCTCGCATGTCATCTGTGTGATGCGGTTCTGGGCTCTGCTAAAAACCTACGACGTCATAAGAAGACAGTCCACCACAACCTTCATGCGCCGATTGCAGCCGTCAGAGTCAAATGCGATGACTGCCTTGAGGAGTTCAGTTCGGTGGCTGAAACTATTCAGCACATTGAAATAGATCACGGTAAATCAGCAAACAAGCACTGTGCAATTTGCAGAACAGTGTTTATGAGCTTGGAAAAATATCAGAGTCACATAAACAACCGCCATGGACTTCCAGTCTGGGATTCGGATGCTGACTCTACTTCAACCGGTGGTTGTGGTGGTGGTGGTAGCAATGAGACTATAGCCATCGTAGGTTCATCAACAACGCGAGTACCTCAAAGCACTCGGTCAATTTGAAGAAATATCAACTAAATTTTGACGAGAATGAAATCGACCTGCTCGATTTCATGATGTGAAACAAAGAAGTCATTGATGACTTCATATTCGAGCACTCGCAAAACGGATCGATTAAGGTGCAATTCTCAGTCGAAGTGAGCTTGAGGAAACACATCACCGTGGAAAACGACGAAGAACCCAATGTTGAGAAAATCACACTTTTTTTGAACACTGAGATGGTACGTGTCAATTATGGTGGTCTGGAACAGGGGCAGTGTATTGAGATGATTGAACATATGCTCAACTCAATCAACTGCTTCGCTTTTCATGGAAGTGGGTGGATAATTGAAAGAATTTCGGAAGTAACTATCAATTTTGCTAAACTGTCTCCAATGTGCACAGGAAGCTACTTGCCGCTACCCCTTGGTCTCAAAAAACAGAACTTCAACCTTGTAAATATACAAACAAAGACGAACGATAAATGCTTTCTGTCTTGCTTCATTGCAGCCTATCACCTCAAACATGGTCCACCTCTATACGCATCTTCTCAGGCATACCAAAAGAAGACCAAATGGGCAACGTATAAAGAAGAAGACAGCGAGGACGAGGACAGCGATGATGATGAAGTAAAAGGAGAGTCTGATAAGGATGTTGTCGTCGTTGCCGTCAACGACAATCAAGATGAAGGGAACGCGGAACCCCCACAAAGGCAACCAGATGCAAGACAGCGAGAGATGAAACAGATAGTGAAGATTCAAGGAGATTTTGAGATACCAATGAGCATTCTGGAAATAGGAAGATTTGAAAGATTGAACAATGTTCAAATCAACGTATTTCGGTAAGTTTATTTGACATTTCAAATTTCGTTCAGAAATTTTTTCTTTTAAAAAAAACAAAAATCAACCATGACCTAGAAGTTTATTCCATTTCATATAAAGTAAACTTTTTTCTTATTTAAGTACCAGTCAGAAGAGCTGATACCAATCCGGATTTCAAAAGAGCTAAATTGTACATTTGTGATGGACTTGCTGCTTCTTTCCGACGGTTCTGCATATCACTATGTGCTAATCAACGACCTGACAAAGCTGGTCAACTTTATTCGTAAAAGAGCACCACGCGACAGAAATGAAATCTGCCGAAATTGCTTCCACACTTGCACTTCCAACGACATTCTACGTCGACATCAAGAAATTTGCAATCGACAAGATGGCATTGAAATCACGATGCCCGGGCCCGACAACGATCGACATGTGTTTAAAAACTTTGGTGCACGATCGTTTGTACCACGTATAGTATACTTCGACTTGGAGTCATTAATTGTACCCGTAGCTGGCCCAGAGCCTGACAACGAAAAATCGAACACTCACCTTATCGAAAAAAACCAGAACTGTGGGTATGCATTCGCAGCTGTAGAATTTGGAAACCCCGAGGTGGTCAAGTTCGAGTTGAAAAGGGGACCTGACAGTATCGAACATCTGTTACTGAGCTTGGAAACGCTTGCGAAGGAAGTTTACATTGAAAAAAGAAGACATTACGCGTTCACGCGGCAAAGAGAAACAAGAAAAGAAGATACATCCGAGTGCTGGATATGCGAATTGCCTTTTGCATGGGATGAGGAAAAGGTATTAGACCACTGTCACTACACCAACAAGTTTCTCGGGTGGGTACATAATACATGCAACATCAACCGCAAGACAAACAATTTCATTCCTGTAGTTGCCCACAATCTAGCAAACTATGACCTACATTGTATCATTCGAGCATTGAATAAAAGCAACCCACACAATGTCTTCTCTGTCATACCGAGCACCGAAGAAAAATTCATCTCAATGACCATATCGGTATGGATCAAAACGTTCTACGATAAAAGTGGAAAAATAATAAATGTATATGAGAATCTGAGATTTATCGACTCCCACAAGTTTATGCAATTTTCCTTGTCAACGCTCGTTAATAATTTGCCACCTGATAATTTCAGTCTATTGGAAAATTTCTTCAAAGCAAAATTACATTCAATGGAGAAAATCGATCTTTTGAAACGAAAAGGGTTCTACCCATACAGCTACATTGATAGCTTCAAGAAATTCAATGAACCGCGATTACCCGCCCGAACACTGTGGACGAATAGCCTAGCCGGTGGTGAGGTCAGTGTAGATCGATCAGAGTTCAACCATGCAATCATGGTATTCACTAAATTCGGCTGTAATTCAATTGGTGACTACCACGACCTGTACCTCTCTACCGATGTCCTATTACTCGCTTCTGTGTTCGAAGTTTTTCGTCCGTGTGCTATGAAACATATGGAGTCGATTGCGCGCACTATTATACCGCAAGTGACTTGGCGGGGGATGTGTTCCTTAAAGTCTGCCGAGCGGATCTTCGATTGCTAACCGAGCGCGACCACCTTCACTTGGTAGAGGGGATGATTCGTGGTGGAATGTCGTCTGTATATGCCCGAAAATACTGGAATGCCAACAACCAGTATCTTGACGATAACGATAAAAATGAGAAAATTCGTTCATCGTAAACATCGACGCAAATAATCTCTACGGAGGTATTATGCAAAATTACTCGTTGCCCTTAAACGATTTCAAAAGGGCGGTCGACTCGGTGGATATACCTAAATTACTACTGACGGAAGAGGATAGTGAGTGGGGTTACCTAGCGGAGGTAGATATCGAGTTCCCCGACGAGCTCCATGACTACTTCAAAGACTATCCTCCCGCGCCATCAAAAGAAATTGTACAGATAACTGACTTGAGTACCGATCATGTGGAAATGATGGGCAAATTAGGTATCACCAGTCTACCCACTAAGCTTATACAGTCTCTACAAGAAAAGTCAGGATATGTTTTGCATTATCTGACCCTTCAGCTTTACATAAAATTAGGTGTGAAGGTGACTCACATTCATAGAGTGCTGTAATTTCGACAGTGTAAATGGATGGCCCCTTTTGTACAGATGCACACTGAGCTAAGAAAGAAGGCTAGGAACATTTTTGAGAAAAATTTTTATAAGCTCATAATAAACTCATCTTTCGGCAAGACGATGGAAAGCAAACGAAACAGAACAAAAATGAGTATAGTGCGTAACGAAACCGAGCTACTGCAAAAGTTGTGCCAGAGCTCATAGAAGTCATTACAATAACATTCAAACCGAGCTCAATCCGGTGGGATAAGCCAACGATCGTTGGCGCAGTAATATTAGACATTGCAAAAAAATACATGTTCGAAACCCACTATGTGCAAATGAAGCCAAACTTTAATCTCGAGCTATTGTACTCCGATACTGATAGCTTTATTTAATATTTATTTCCTTTTGAATTGGCTGTGTATTAAAGTTATCGAAAACGGTGTTCGAAGAAGAACAAGGGTCATTTTCTAAACTACCATCCCAGTCGTCGAGTAAAATTTGGTTATTAAATTCACCTTCGCGGGTCAAAAAGTGACCAAAAGGTAAACAGGTTACCAGGTCACCGAGGAGGAATCTCTTTGTGTCCAAAGCTGTTCACGCTAATTTATTTATGTTGACAGTTTGTAGCTCGTGTTTTTAACTCGAAATTTTCTGTGGTTGAATAGGGCGTCCTTAAAGCGATCATATGTCAGCTGTTTTTGTGCATACCAAGAGATTCCTTTCGCTGAGACTTTGTTGCTCCTATCTAAAACAAAAAAAAACAGATATTAGTTTTAAAAATGAGCTCTGTTTATGTAAGTAATCCACAAATTATCATAAAAGCAAAAAGAAAAAAGGAAATTGTGAAAGGTATTAAAGGTGCCAACCAAATTTATTTATTTTTTCTGTCATTGGGTTTTTGGAATTTGATTAATTTTTACTACTTACTTTTGAGTTTAAGACAATATAATTTCGGTTTGAGTGCTACAAATTCTTCTATCAAGTCTCCACCCATCTTGTCCTTGAACATTAGCACCTGTTTCTTGTGGGTTTCATTATACAGTGGTGATTGTTTGGGATAGTTCGAGAAGTCAAACAAGTGTCCCATTTCTTTTAGTTCCTCGTATATATCGTCACATTTTATAAATATTAATGACTCGTACTGGTCACCGCCAGACCCAGGACTGGTCACCGCCAGACCCAAGGAAATACACTAAGAAAGAATTGCGTGAAGATTTAACTGGCAGTTCTAAAACTGTAGATAAACCCTACCCAAACAATCCTTACATTGCGTTCGAGGCTCAAGAAGAACGTGACAATACTATGGCGGCTGACGGAAATAGCAGTGAATTAGATAATACCAGTTCGGAGAGTGCAAATAACTCTCCAGTAATTGCCAAGAAAAGTAGAAGGGTTTTAAACCGCTCCTAATTAGACAATGATTAATTAACTAAAATAACTTTTCACATTTCATTTACCCCACTCTGATTAATATTTTGCTTGTAATATTTGTAAAGCTTAATTTGCAAAAAAAACCATACCCATATTTATATTTCATTTGTGAAATAAGCTCATTTTAATTTGCATACTTACCACAATCAGTAATAGACAATTTGTTTCTAAAATTTGTCCGGTCTAATTTGAGCAAATACCACTTGTCTTTGTTTCCAATTAAGTTCTACTCGCCGCTATAAATTCAATAAACAAACGCAACGGGAGAAATTTGATTTAGCCAAGCAAAGTAATTCCAAACACCAAAATAGAATTCGAAGCTGGAAAGAAATGTTCCTGCAAAATTAAAGGGAAATGTTAGCGGTCAATGACGGCGGCAAAATATCATGCATTCTGAAGGAATGAAAGAAGGAAAAGAAACATGAATGTAAAAGAACTGAGAAAATGAATGTAAAAAATTAAGGATCCTACTTTAATTATCCGCCAGGGATCTAGAAATTTGCTACATGGGTATATGACTCTTGGTAAAATCCTCAGGGGGGAGGCCACCCAAAAATCTGGATCCTCAAGTGAGGATCTTGTAATCCACCAGCAAAATGCCGGCTGACTACAAGATAAATTTGGACCCCTTAGGTGTCGGATCTTAGTCGCCCACGCCTTTTTTTAGGTGATTTTGCCCCCCCCCCCCCCCTAAGGATTCCTGGCGGCCCCTCATACTACTGCTGGAGGTACGTAATTGACATTTTTTGAATTTGTTATAATGATGCGGAACGAAATGCATAATTTCAAAACTTGGATTTTGCCCGAAACTCTAGTTTTTTCCCTTATAAAATAAGTGAGAAGAGTGAAATCTTTTTTGGATGTTTTTTCCATCAACAACTTTTTATTTACAAAATTTTAAGAATTAATCGCTTCTGCATGAAAACTTCGCTCAACCGCTTCTTTTCAATAAAATGTTGATCTCGGATCTGATGTGGCAGTTATTAAAAAAATCCAAAATTTTTCTATTGTCTTTCCGAAATCCGTAACTGATTTCTGGTAAAAGCAGGTCGTGGCCGGTAAAATAGAAAAGACTCAAAAATCGGGTTTCTCGAATTAAAAGTTTACTCAAAAATGACCGTGTCATTTCTCAGCTTCAGTTTTTAATCGAGAAGCCCGATTTTTGCAATCCTCTCTACTTTAACAGCCATGAGCTGCTTTTAGCACAAATCAGCTAAGGATTTTGGAAAGTCAAGTTGTTGAACTTTGACCGATTTTTGAAACATTTTCCCAAAAACTACCCCATCAAATCTGAGATGAAAATTTCAGTCAAAAAAAGCGCCTGCGCGATTTTTTTCTGCAGAAGCTTCTCAGCCCTTGTAACAGAAAGGTTATCTATGGGTTATCTCATTCTCAGGTCAAGCAAAAAAACTTCCAAAAACGGTCAAAGTTTCAAAACTTTCAATTGTTGGAAGGCCAAGATTTTGTTCTAAAATTAATTGTGTTTAGCAAATTATAAAGGTAAGCTTGCAACAAGCTGTTTTGTTGATTAAACCATTGATATCAGATTTGGCAGGGTAGTTATAAAAAAAACCAAAAAATCAGAAAAATGACATTTCTGAAGATCATAGCGTTGAAATTGAGCGTAGCTGCATACATGAAGAAATTCAGTCAAAAAACCAAACCAAAAACCCAGCTTTGGCAGGGCAGTTATCGAGAGAATTAAAAAAAAAATTTTGAAACTTTTTGATTTCTCTCGATAACTACCTGTCAAAGCTGGGTTTTTGAGTTTGATCGAAATTTAAGATAAGGTGAATTTCTTCATGTATGCAGCTACGCTCAATTTCAATGCTATGATTTTCAGAAAAGTCAATTTTCTGATTTGTTGACTTTTTGGCTTTTCCGAGGGCCACACTTTTCTTGTCTAATTTTTTTGGCGTAGTCGCGTATGCAAAGGAGCTTCCCACAACTTTTTCTTTGGATTGAAAACATTATCTCAGATATGGGAGGGTGTTTTTTGGTAAAACGCATAAAATTTCCAAATGAAATGCTCATAAAAATTGGCTTTTCCGAGGACAATAAATTGTTAGGGCCGCTAATTCAGAGGAGCTTCCCATTACCCTTTATCTCAATTAAAGCCGCAGCCTCAGGTGTGGGAGGTTAGTTTTCGAGAGAAATTCAAGATTCAAAAAACGGTAACTTAATCATAAGTTTGACTATTCCGAGGGCCATAATTTTATTTGTTAAAAAAATTTGGGCATGGCCGCTTACAGAGAAGAGCTTTTCAAATCCTTTCTATTCATTGAAGCTAAAATCTCAGATTGGGTAGGTTGGTTTTTGAGTAATAACATTGGTCAAAAATTCCCCCACGAGTTTTCGAAAGCTGTAGACAAAGAGGTAAAGCAAAAAGAAACCAGAAGAAAATGTAAGTACACATAAATGAGATTGTAGGTAATCTTTCTAAGGATAACATTTTTTTGTAAATCAATTAAAAGTTTTTTGGGAAAAAAAATTAAACTTTTTTAAAAAAGTTTGTAAAATTTTCCAAAGCGTTTTACAAAAATCCAGTCTAAATCCAGTCCAATAGTTTCCGACTTAAAAAATCCAGTCCAATACACTTTTTTTACACAAGCAAAGCTTGTGTGATAGTATGAACTCTCTTAATTTCCAACCTAAGTCGCAAATATTCATGTTCATTTTGAAAGTGTGTTCAAATATCAGTATTCACCAGCTATTAAGTACAGCCAATATATTAGTGTTCGTTACAAAAATTAGAGTTCACCAGCTATTAAGTACAGCCAATGCTAAGGATATTAACAAAAACTATTATATTACAAATAGCACTTTAGCTTCCAGGTATCATGGATCTGTAGCGTAGTGGTAGGGAAGGAGACCCGCAACAAAATCATAGCGTTTGAACCTGGGCAGCGTCGGCTGTTTTTAATGAACTTTTTCGTATACTAATTAAAATGCGTCCGCTCTATAAATTGAGGCATAGTAGTTGGTAAATTTTTTTTTTCAAATGGACTGGTTTTGTTAATGCGTCATAATTGGCTTGCATCACTTAGCATTTATGTAGAGCCATAGTTGGCGCGTGCGTCACTTAACAAACTTTGTAGACACAAAGTTTTACTCATTGAGTTTTTCACAGTAGCGTTATCGTTCATATTTTTTGCTTGTGGATGCGAAGTGCAACTTCGTAGCAGCGTAATACCTGTTTTTATCATTCAGGAGTTCCAAAAAAACATGCCAAGCAAGACATTTCAAATTCAAATTAGCCACTTAATAAAACTTACGAAGCGGAAACAAGGCCAGCAATCTTTGAGCAGACACCAGTTGAGCCGGAAAAGTAACTTTTCTGAAGAATTTCAAAAAGTTTTAGTTTCAAGTTGCCTTTTTCCTTGAAACTAATCTGTAGAAATAATAATTGTCGTTCCTGCGATACGCAGAGGATCTATGAAAGGCTTTGCAGCCTGTCTAAGCATTGTCTGTTTCTCTTTTTGCCTCGGATGATGTGCATACGCACGCTTAACAAACATTTAGACTCATTGATCGACTGTCAGCTAAGATGAAAAAAATTGGTTCTACCCTAAACGAAAATGTAGCCATAAAAAACGTCAAGCTATAATCCTAAGCTTAATAAAACTTACGAAGCAAAAACAAGGCCAACAATCTTTCAAGCAAAAATGCTTGAAAAATTTACCAGATTTTGTAAGCTGCAATTTTAAAAAAAATTAGAAAATCAGCCAACATAAATTAGGACGAAGCCACAATTCAATTGGAAAAAAATAAGTAATGCAACTCAAATAAACTAAGAAAGAGTTGAATTTGAAATTTCGAGAAACTGAGCCAGTCAGCAGAATTGACCATGTCAGTAGAAATTCTGTTATAGTTAAAACTAGAGCCGAGTTAAACCTGTTTGATTTTTAACTTATGTTTTACTTATGCGCGTTAAAATGCATAATTTTTGTAGTAGTCCATATTCTACTAAAGTATGTAACAGGCGAAAGTTTCAAGATTGTCGACGTTTCAAAGGACACAAGAACATTTTTTCATAAAACTCAAGGAGTCAAGTTTCTGTAAGAAAAATTTCTGCAAACTGCTTATACGGATGGATCTTTAATTTCAGATTTGGAAGGGTACTTTTTAAGAACAACAAAAAAATCCAAAAAACTGTCATGAAAAAAAATCATTTGGGATTTTTCAGAGGGCTATAATTTTTTCTACAAAAACAGGGCGTATCGGTGTATGCAGCAGCCAAACCGACACAGTCAAAAGTTCAAAAAATTTTCCGGAGGTCATAACATTTCTTTCTCAAAACATAGGAGACTTTAAGAGACTTGAAAAAGTTCGAAAAAAGTCAGAAAATCAAATTTTGACTTTTCTGAAGGCCATAAGTGTTTTAGAAAACACTTTTGTCGCAGCTGCTTGTGCTGTGAAGTTTCCAGTAACCCATGCTTTCGATTGAACCCAAAGTCTCAGATTTGGGAGGATAGTTATTGAGAAAGTGACCAATTTCTAAAATTTGGGTGGAAAGTTCCTCGCACACAATCGTTCCTCCCACAGATTTGGGAGAGTAGATTTCGAGACAATTCGTAAAATTTAAAAAAACGGTTAAAAAAAACAAAAAGTGTCTGTCCCGAGGACCATAAATCTCTATCTAAGAAGAACAGTTTCAAAAACAGAAAACATCAAAATTTGGACTTTTCTGAGGACCACAACTTTGTGTAAAAAAGTTTGGAAATAGCTGTATATGCAGGGGAGCTTCTTATAGCCCTTGCTGTTAATTGAACCCAAAATCTCAAACTTGGGAGGGCAGTTTTCGAGAAAACGGCAAATTCCCAAAAATGGGATAAGAAGATCGTCCCACACAAATTTTTGAAGGATGTATAAAGTGGCGTAAAATAGAGAAAGACAAAGTGTTTATGCAGGCAGACAGGGGAGTGAGCAATTTTTCCATTGAAACCACTTTTTGAAAAGTTTAAGTAGTTCTCAAAAAGTATATAAGAAATCAAATTTTATATATTTTCATTCAGCCTGTTTTAATTCGAATCAAAAGTTAAAAACAACTAAGCTTTGGAAAAAAAATAGCTTGAAAATGTACCAGATGTAAACTGCAATCTAAAAATTTAGAAAATCAGCCGGCATAAATTAGAACGAAAACACAAATCAATTGGTTAAAAATGAGTAATGCCTCAAATGAAATAAGAAAGAGTTGAATTTGAAATTTCGAGAAACTGAGCAACTCAGCAGAATTGACCATATCAGTAGAATTTGTCGAAAAAATTACTGACTTGAAAAAAGTCTAGTTCCCGAATACAAGTCACTTGCACTCGGAAGTGAAAAAAATATTATTTAAATGAAAAATCAAAATAGACATTAAAGCTTAAACGTCGGAGACTTGCCCCTGTCTTTATCTTGCAATGCCTTTAATTGCTGATGCCATTAAATGGAATTGTTTTATCTCGACAACTGAAGTTAAAATAGCCATAGCTCCACAACAGCTGAGCCTTGTCTAAAGTGACAGTTTTGCCAAAACAGTTGAGAACCCGCATACTAACACATTACATTAATGTTATCAGCCAGTGTTTTCTGCGGTTGCTAAAAGTGATCAGGAACTTCGTCTTCGATTTTTATACTTTTTTTCCACGCAAAATCAGTTACCACAAAGAATCATCAGTACTTTTCGAGTCGTGAATCAAAACTTTTTCTCAGTCGTGATTTGAACGTTGAATTTTTTTTTCAATATCGAGAAAAACCGATTTGCTGAAGTTTTTGATTTGTAGTCTAATTTCGAGTGAGCAAAGTGAGCAAGAAGGTGTTATTATAGAAAAAACTTATTTTAAGCTGAGAAATTTAGGTTTTTTCCATGGAAACTAATATTCAAAGCAATGGTAGCGCTTCTTTGGCAGTTAAATTTGTTTTTAAAACAATCTGCAAAAAATTAGAAAACTTTTTTCTATTAACTTTTTGAAATTGTTAAGTAATTTGTTTTTACTTTTTTGAAAACAAATGTAGTCTAATTTATTAATGCTATAATCCCTGTGTAGTTCTTTTTATGACAGTTTCATAAATTTCAATCGGAAAACTGAAGGAAAACAATTCATTTTTTGATCCGTCAAAATCCCTTTACAAAATTTCAATGACATTATCTTAGCTGCAGAGAAAACTATAGAAACCGTAACAATGATTCGGTAATTTTAGCGTTTGAAATAGAAAATTGATTTTTTGGTCCCTAAAATTTTCGGTCTTACATTACTTTTCTCAACCTAGTAAGACCACTTGTATATAATTTGATATTTGTGTCTATTGGGCAAAGTTTTGGGCTAAAAAATCCGGTGAATTCTTGTTTTTGAAACAGCAGATTCATTATTCGAAATTATTGGTGAAACGGTCGTACAGTTGACGATACGGCTCAACTTACATCACCCTACATTCCTGATGTAGATATTTCAGATTTTATGATCAAAAGTCTGTGATTATTCGGACCTACATCGAATTCAAAATTCAACTTATTTTCATTTACGCCAGGCCACGTGGAGCGGTGCGACGAGGGCGGTTGTTGTGGGGGAGTGCCGGAGTATGTGTTGGTGGACCACAGGGGCAAGAAGACACTCAAGCTGGCGGGCGAGAGTGGCATGTGTTGCGCTGACTTCGGATACACGTTCGATGTAAGCTCGGATATTTATTCTAAGTGCAAATTAGAGGCCCCCACCCGACATTGCCAGCTTATCCTTTTCACAACAAGTATTTATGCAACTAGAGCTTAATGTAAGTCTTTTCACTGAAAAATTATGAAGAATAAATGTGTTCAGAATAGTTTATTTGATCACACCCAGCTTTTTGGGTCTTCATACGAAAAATTGTACCTTTTTTACACAATTAACATGATGCTTAGTTGAAGTGACGAAAGAGCCTGATAACATACTTGCCAAATCTTATCAACTAGGGCAATCTTTAGAGGCAACCTATTCTAAGGCGCCTAAATAGGTTCTCCGCAAAGTCATGCACAGCTCTTACATTGTTTTTCTCTCGTTTATAAATGGCTGTCGTATAGTGTTATTTAGTTCAAATTGCAAGCTGTCAATTAACTGTCATTCGTGGTGCTTATTAATCTATTAGCAGGTGCTGTCCTTGGAACAGTCTGTCACCCTTGGATAATGTTGATAACCACTCTTATTGTTAACTTTGCAAGATCAAGTTGATTATCTTTATTGGAATTAAATACTGCACAACAAGTCTTTTCAACATGGCGCAGCCAGCAGTCTCAGGTGGGGGGAAGGATCCACTGGGCATTACAGGCTTTTGGCCAGCAAAGTGTACTAAACCACCTATGATGTGTGAATTCTGGATCAACAGATTCCAATGGGGAATGGTGGCTAAGCATTCAATTAATCCGAAAAATTATTATTACGCAGCGACTCGCACTGCCGCTCAAGTTACCGCTTTGCCCGAGGAAGTGGATGGGAAGAATCGACTGGAGTCAGAACAAGTTCTGGTCTCAAATTTGTATTTGTGCTTGGGAGAAAAGGGACAAGACGAACTTAACAAAAGACGACCGCATCTGGATCTCTCGACGGTTCGTTACCCACGGATGATAGACGTACTGGAGACGAAATTCAAGAAGGAAAGGAATGAGACATACGTGACATATCAGCTTCTCTCTCGGAAACAGTTTATTAATGAGAGTTTGGAGCAATTCCATTCCGTACTGAGCGGATTGGCGACGCGATGCAATTGTGGAGTATTGGAGGATCGTATACTAAGGGATGTATTCATTGTCAATATGAATAACTGTGAAGCACAAAAAGAACTGTGCAGGTAAACAAAAACACCGGAGGAGGTTTATCGGATAGCCCTCTCGTACGAGCGGGGTAACAAATATGCCACATCCTATGTCGCCACGGGATCATTGGGAACCCAAGGATCATCTTCAGGCGGTGGGATTCAGATTAAATCCGAACCGGTGGGAACGATCCGTTGAGGATATCGCAAAAATCGCGCACGAGGCAGAGGTTGATATCAAGGGCGAGGCTCGAACCGAGGTGGAAATTTGTATCAAAACAATCGATGCTACAACTGCGATCAACCAAATTTTACGAGAGAACATTTAGATAGATGTCCAGCAAAAGGAGTTACGTGTAATTTTTGTCATAAAATTGGACATTACGAACGTACCTGTAGAGGGAAGCGCGGAAACCAGCGAGGACGGGGAGCAGTTGGGATGATACGTGAGAATGTGGACGAGACACACCTGGATAATTCAGCGGACGAAGAAGCGTCCCAGCATGCAAGTTCCATTGGATGGGTAAACAAGAATCCAGTGGTGCACTCGTGGGACTCGAGCAGTTCAGACGGGGACTATATGGTAATGGCGATAAAACATAAACGATCCACGGAATTGAAAATCGCTGGGGCACAGTTGCCGATTAAAGTAAATGGGAAATCTACTCGCGTTTGGATTGATAGCGGATCCCCAATTTCAATTTTCACCATTGGTGAACTGAGAAGAACCTTGGGAGCTTCGGGGATAAAACTGGATACCCTCTCGGAGGAGGAAAGTTCAATTCGGGATTATGGGAACAATCCACTGCAGATGATTGGAGCAATGGCTGTGACGTTAGAATCCAATGGCTGGACGATAAACGCAAGAATAAAAGTCATAGGAGGAAATCGCCCATCGATAATTGGAAGAGATTTGATGCCTCAGCTCGGACTACAGTTGGTGCAACAATCACCACTAGGGGATCAGATAAGGTCCATCGATGAAGTGGATCCGGAACCATCAATGCCAGAGGGGGAGTTGGACTCATGGCAAACCTATTTCAGTAAGCAGTTTTCAAACTTTTTCAATAGGGTGGGGGAAATAAGAAACTATAAAGTACAAGCTGAATTTTTGAAAACCTCATCCCAGTACAACAAAAGGGACGACGAGTTCCCATTTCATTGCAAGAAAAGGTGGATACTGAAATCGATAAACTACTGAAACAAGGGCATATCGAAAAACTGACGGAATGCTCGGATAATTATTTCGTGTCCCCAATCGTCATAAAGGTAAACAAGGATGGGTCTGCAAAACTAGCGCTCGAGTCCAGGGAACTAAGTAAACAAGTGCATAAGAATAAATATCAAATGCCGAACATTGAAGAGTTAATGGACACAGTAGGACAAACGATTAGCGAAAAAAAATCCGGGATATATTTTTTTACAACGATGGATCTAACATATGCGTATGGTCAATTGCCACTAAGCGCTGAAACGAGTGTACAATGTAATTTTTCTCTCATCGGAGGTCGATCGACGGGAACGTGCCGGTTCAAGACCGGATTCTATGGTTTCACTACGATGCCAGCGGAATTTCAGCGCGCAATGGATTGTATTCTTGCGGAATATCCGCAGGCGCATGCGTTCATCGACGATATTTTGGTTGTATCAAAGGGAACCGCGATCGACCATATAGCAACGCTAGAGAAAATTCTAAAAAAAACTGGAACAGGAAAATATGTCTCTAAAACTATCAAAATGCAGGTTCGCACAACGGGAATGCGAGTGGCTAGGGCACAAAACAACATCAACTGGAATAACTCCTCTGGTACGGAAAACAGAACCGATCGAAGCATTAACGCCGCCGCGAACTTTGACTCAACTCAAGTCGTTCATGGGGTCAATACATAGTCTCCACAAGAATCTGCCAGCGTTAGCTGAATCATCCGCGCCGTTGCGACCATTACTAAGTAGAAGTAATGAATACATTTGGACTCCCGAATGCCAGAATGCGTTTGAAAATCTAAAAAAACAAGTGTCTAACATTGTTGAATTGCGACATTTCGATATCCACAAGGATATTCGGATCGTGTGCGACGCAAGTCATAACGGGCTCGGTGCTGTGCTTGAACAATTAGGACCAGAGGGATTGAACAATTAGGACGACTGTGCTTGAACAATTAGGACGACATAAACCACAGTACGACATTAACCACGCAAGTCATAAGGGGCTAATTTAATATTCATGAAAAAATTACTGCTATGAACCGTTATTATTCTCAATTTGTTAACGATTTTTCGGCAAAGGAGAACGTAGTGTGGATGGATGAAAAACTTGTAATATCTATGAACTTACAAACTGCGATTAACAATAGAATTCATGCAAATCATCACGGGAAACCCAACATGTTTGATCAAGCGAAAAATGTTTGGTACCTGTATATTTACCGATCAATAGCTTCAATAGCTGAGGACTGTCCCGAATGCACCGCCGCCAATAAGAACTTAAAAACGATCTTAAGAAAAAATCAGCTTGGAAATATACCTGAATCGAAGGAACCAAATGAATCAGTTCAACTGGATTTTTGGGGGCCCATTAACTAGTTAAATGAATCACGGAAATATGTGTTAGTGGCGGTTGATCGATTTTCTTGTTGGCCCTCGGCAATGGTCTGTGGAAATAATCGATCTGATAAAATACTGAAGTTTTTGAAAAGCTATATAGCAAATCATGGAGTGCCAAGGAAAATTCACGTAGATCAGGGTACGAGTTTTATGTCGAATGAGATTAAAGCATTCTGTAATGGGGAGGTTATTGAAATAATAAAATCACATGTTAATGATCACCGGGCAACTGGATGCGTGGAGCGCACCATAGGTAGTCTTAAAAATTCCATCCTGACGTTTGTCCAAGAAAAACACCCCGAACTCTTAGAAAAAAATGATCGAAAGAGCCCTTGGCGCTCTCAGATTTTCGAAGAATGCAACATTAAAAATCTCGCCATTTGAGGCGCATCATGGGCGAGAAGCGAACACGGTCTTAAGATACCTTACAAAAAAATCATCTCTGCAAAATCTGGATTGGTCGCGGGTTATAAAAACGAAAAATGCTTGTTTAGTTAACGCCGACCCAAATGCAAACTATATGCCACACTCTGCAGACACAAACTGGGCCGTACGATCGGATTTAGCGTACGACATAAACCACAGGAGCCACGCACGCCGACTAACCCATGAGCAGTCAACCAACCAAGACGATGAACCGTTAATTTTGAAATCAGCGGGCCCCAGTGGACAACCAGGACCTTCTGGATTGTTATTCCAGCGAACTGGAAACCGCAATCTCAAAAGGTATAAACAGCCTTATTCGAAAGTTAAGTCAGAGAGCGCGCATACGTTGACTTTAAATAATGGGGTTGTGCTTAGGAAATCGGGGGTGGCCACAAAAGCTACGCCAAAGAAGATTAAAGCAGGACCAAAATCGATTGTACCACCGCTAACTCCGCGGGAAGTTAAAGAGCGAGCGACAAAGAGGATTGCTCCACAGTAGCAACAACGGGAGAAAAGCGGCCGCCGATTTGAGAACACTGGTTCTGAATCGGAAGACAGTGACAACCTGCCGATTATTTCGGTCAAACGAACGAAACAACCATCCGCGGCGGCTTCAACAGAGATCGCACACGCAGATCTAACGGCAATGCAACAAAGGGACGCAGATAGTGGAAGCGACCAAGAAACCATTCCGGCACGCAGCGGCGATTTGCATAGAAATCCAAGGGATCCGGCTACATCAAATCCAGGGAACCAACCAACTCAAGCACCCGGCAAAAAGAAAGGGCCGTCAAAGAAGGCCAGACTAGTATCCTATAGCAGTCAGGACGATAGCCAGGACGACACGGGATCTATA